TGGACTCTCCCACAGTAGGTATGTAGGATTTTCATAATCGCCACTGTTTGACAGATGTACCAGACGTGTCACAAATTTGACTCCGCTTTCCTTAGTATCTTACATTTAGTATATTATATAAGATGTTTATAGCGTCATAACTACTATGGCAAAAACTTTTTATAAATCCTCAAAAGCTTGAGTTCCTTTGTTATTTTCTATATATCCATCTGGTCATTTCTTGCGATACCCCTGGAACGAAAGAGTTTGATGTATTATCTTACGCCGTCATTGTATACCAGTTTTATAGAATACTAGCGACGTTCTCCGGCTTCACCTGGGTAGGATCTATTAATGTGGCGTTATGCAGATTTAAAATAATAATTAAAAACTCTTTAAGCGACTTCAAAAAAGGAGGAGGTTCTTAATTCATCGGAATCTTTTTTTATGTATGTTCACCGATTACTCAAATACTCCTGAACTGATTTGGAATTTTTTTTTTGTTTCAAAGGGTATACTTCCGAAGTAGTCCCATTTAAATTTTATCGAAATCGGGTTTTTAAAAAATCAAACATAAATTATATTCATATTGAAGTCGTTTGTACAAAATTTTAAATTTACCACTTGTTTAATTACATTTTTCGATTTACCAAAAACATTCTCCAAGTTTTCCAGATCAAATATAGCTTAGATCACTCTGAACATTGATCTCTATCTTTTTCATAAGTTTCATTACGATCGGTTTAGTCATTCAGGAGATTAGTCCGTACAGACAGACAGACAAACATAAAGACAGTCCAAAATTTAAAAAATTGTTAATCATGTCAAAAACACCCGCAGCTCAATAAAAGGTATTAATATATATAATACAGACAGACGCTTCAATTTTATTTATAGGTATAGATGCGCAGATGTTATTGTATTTGCGGATCTGGCGGATAATAACTGATAGTACTTTAGGAGTTTTAATTTAAATATAGTACTGATTAAGTCCTAGTATCTAAATACTGTCCATCCGAAAAGGCGATTATGTTTTTGTTAGCTTACATGCATTATAAAATAGAAAACGTGTGCCGACAAAACCTATAAAAGCAAAACGCATTCTTGGGGCAAATGCAAAATTACCGATCCATAACTCTAGCTAATATACAGATAGATACAATCAATTATAGCCTGTCCAACATAAGTCTACTGCTAAACAGAGGCCTTCCCCAAGAAACGTTCACCGACCTTCTGCATGTCTTACCTTTACTCTACCTAGTGAGGGGTCGCCCTACGCTCCTCTTACCGATACGAGACCACCACTTGAGAACCTTTCAGGTGTCAAACGAGCACACAGTCCACCTCATGGTAAGTAGTTGCTATGGTCCACAGCCATCTACATCTAACCTCGACTACGAATCAAAATGCAGATGCGTTGTCAGTTGTCACCCGTGAGGACTAAGATGGAATGCCTCGTTTCCAATAAAAGGAGTCTCCGGTTCTCTACACTCACGACACGAAACATATCAGCGTGGAGCCGCTATTTAACACTGGTATTCTGTGAGAGCGTGGTCCTTCACCGGTCGAGCCGACCCATTCGTGCTACAACTATAGTAATAATATAGCTATTGTTAAGTCACTGCGCTTCACCATCTTAGGCTACATCACCACTTGCCATCAGGTGGGATTGTAGTTAAGCGCTGTCTTAGAATAATATTTAAAATAAACCTTTGCTATAAAAACTATGACGTCATTACGCTATATTTTCATACAAATTCAACAGAAATGTTAGTTTCGACAACTTTTAGAAAGGATTTTAATAGTTGATTAGCGTCCCATCTTAGCGTAATAAAACACATGTACGATATTGCACATTCTCTCCTTTTATGTCTTAGTAGGTCACTTTGTTTAATGTAAAACATGACTTTGAAATATTTTCTGGGTATTTATCTATTTTAGAGCGTCACCTGACTATTTCACTAAAATGATATTAAGCCTAGATTAAAATGTCATTGAGATAACGTTACACAAATATTATGGATGAGTACACACTCCTGCACTAATTTAAAGTATGCATAATACATTGAAGTAATATGTACTACCTACGTACAGTACATTATACTTTAATAGCATAATATGACATAGCATTTGTTTGCTGAAACTATGTGTGGTGACGGCATTCAACGTACATACAAGAAACGTTGGCACCATGTGGAACGACCTCGCGTTTGCAAACGTGTGAAGGATTGATACTAAATCTAAACGCACTAAAATGATAAATGTGCTTTAAAGTCAAATAAATCATTTTCATTTTCATCGAATTCTAACCGTACCGTGACCGTACTTAGTAATCAGTGGATTGTATGTAATGCGGTGTGGTCAAAGAATATATGGTGTGGTGCAGTAGTTTTAAATTTTTTTACTGCATTTGTTTCATCTTATTTATTAATAAGTTACTAAATCATTACGGCCGATGGACGCAGAAATCCACTGCTGGACATAGGCCTCTCTCATAGATTGCGTCATAGGGGGGATTTTGTCATAGTTACCACGCCTGGTTGGCAAACGCAATTTTTAGTTATTTTTTGTTGTTATCAGGAGAATGCTGCCGCCCGTCGCCGGTTTAAGTTCCCTGTTAGTTTTAGTTGTATGAATAAAAAAGTTCAATATTGTATCACTTGTTCAATGAGCCAGGATATATAATTTATACCTGACGATTTAAAAATTAGATCTAGATGTAGGTAATCTTAATTTGTAGGTAGTCTATTAACGTAATTATCGTGTAGAAGAAAAGGGAACACATGACTGTTTAATAATAACTATAACGTCATAATGTCTGATTTTAGTTTTAACACTACCGCTGACCTCGTACAGAACTAACAGAGAAGTATGCATGTGTGTATGTCATTAAAGGTATAAATAATATGTTGTGCAATATGAAACGTATAATTTGTAAAAAGTATAATAATTTTTTATCGTATTTATGATTTTATTGTGTACAAGAATCTTTCAGATAGCTGTAAACGTCTATTCCATCAAAAATAATTTTTCATGTTAAAAATCTGTAACGTTTTTTTATTACTATTAGTAGCCTTTTCTTTTGTATAGTTTTTACTTCTCATCAATTAAATAAAAATTATTCAAAAATAACCCTGTGATGCTGAAAGCTTGGTAACTGCATCATATAATATCTGAATATTTTAGTTACTTTATTATAATAGGTATATTATTTTAGTTTCCCAAATCATATAATAAAATACTAAAAATGATTTACAGGTGTAATATAGGTACGCTGTATATCACTTTGAGAAATAGGTCGGATCTTTTTTTTTATAGGATAAGGGTGACAAACGAGCACACAGTCCACCTGATGGTAAGTGGTTGCTGCGGCCCATAGACATCTACATCTATCCTCTATTACAAATCAAAATGTAGATGCGTTGTCACCCGTGGAGGACTAAGATGGAATGCCTCATTTCCAGTAAAAAGGGCCTCCGGTCACCTGCACTCACCAAGCGAAACGCAGAGGCAAACCTCTACTTCACGCTGGTTTTCTGTGAGGTCGTGGTACCACCCCGGTTCGAGCCGGCCCATCCGTGCGACTGCAAAAGCTGCCGCATGGCTCTACCACTGTTAGATCTATTATTTAGATCTATAGAGTAGACAGTAGGTACCTATTATATTATAAAAAAACATGCGTGAGTGTCGTGGAACACTCTGTTGGAACGAAGTTTCTTTCATATTTTATTATTATTGACAATCGTATTATATTATTGATTAACAAATACAAATAAATGAATTTCTAGCGTCTATTAATATGTATTTCCTCGATGGCAAGATAAGAAAAAGTGCGAGGAAGACGGATATTATTCCATCTCGCTTCGTTATAGACCCCAAGGTCTTCTACACTATGGAAAGGGTCGTGACTTAAAAAACTTACACTTTTTTTCGCATAACCCCATCCGCCAAGTCCGTACTTCGTTCCAATACAGACATTATTACAGGATACTTGAATTAAGAGATATGACGGAAACACACAAAATAATACTAGCACAGTTTAAAGCTCTCTTTAAACTGATACTACGAGTAAATAGCAACGCATTATCATTGACAACGAGTATCATAGGCACAGAGACCCAGCCTCTCGGTATTCTATATCTATAGGATACATTCCGGAAAAAATGCGCAGGAAAGATGTTTTAATTTCTCACTCTCCCGTTCAGCCATCGGACAACCCAACTCTTCGCAGATCTGCTACGCGTTCGAAGTTAACGTTTTGATTAGCCGTTTGTAATGCATTCAGCAAAAGAGTGGTATAGCTTGCCAGCGCCTTCTTCTTAGATTGCAATATGCGCTTCAAGACAAGAGTGATAAAGCTTTTATTATGCCAAGACAGTTCGATTTACCGTCTAGGGCTAGATCATCACTTACCACAATGAGGAAATGTAGTTAAGCACTGGTTTTTATGTAAAAAAGAAAAGTATTCCCGTTAAACTCACTAACTAAAATATATGTTATCAAGACTGCAGTAAATTAAAAGTCACGACTTTTTAGTTTCGCGTTAAGCTGTCGCTTAATGAATCGGGAATATCCTGATCGATAACGTAGCCTGTATTCGAGATCAGATCTGGTACGATGATTGTCCATCCTGCTGCTAAATAAGGTAGAAAACAGAAGTTGTAGAGAACGTCTAATTAAAACTGCACGCACTCTCTCTTGTATTTTTGGTAGACTTGGTCATATTTACTATATTAAGTAACAAAAATAAACGCGACATTTCTATTGTATTTTAGTAGGTTTTAGCATTTTCACTATATTTGACATGATAAAAGTGACAGAACTGCATACACTCTCAGGATAAAACCTGCAATAAAAAAAGAGTCATCTGCCGTTTTAAATTTGACGACTCTACCACCATTAAAATTCTTACGACGATACTACAGTATGATCTTAGTGAAAGCCAAACCTTTCTTTCTTCCTTCAAAATGGAAATATTTAATAATCAATTATGTAACTATTAAAATAGAACATATTTGTACCTCGTATGCATCAGGATCCTTGCTTTCAGCAATGCTTGTGAATAGATGACTTAACGCACGAGACATCAGCCCGGTCATCGTGTGAGTTTTTCCGGCTCCAGTTGCTCCATACGCAAATACCGCACCAGCGATCCCGCGTAAAGTGTCACCCACCAGTGGCGCACATATCGCGTCGTATACTTCTTCCTAAATATAATATAATATTTAAAATTTTCTTAACAAATAAATTAATGAATTTAAAAAAATGAATATCTAACATTTAATAGACATAATGATATACGAGTAGTATATGATGTTAGTATGTAATAAACCGTGTAGTGTGGTTGTGTAAAAATACCCACTAGATACCCCTTGTCGTCTTGTGGATGTCGTAATAGGCTACAAAGGGAAACAAGCTAGGAGATTGGCAGGAGCACCTTCCTGATTACACCTAGAAAATAAAAAAAACCGCCGCTGTCCACCCGCCAGCCAATGGTGCCAACTATGGGAAAATATACCCCTATGAGGCAATCGGTAAGGAGGTCTATCAGCAGTAGACTTTTGGTGTGCTATAATGATGGTGATGTGTCAATAAAATTGAAGTGTCTGTCTAAGAACGGGCTTGTAATAAGCTCAGGGATTATTTGCATGCTAAATAACAATTTTTAATTTTTTTTTAAATGGCTTCCCTGGAAGTATGAATGCCTTTCCATAGCACGTCAGCCCAACATAATTTAAAACGAGTTTGATAACTAGAACGATTTAAAGGAGTTAGTAGAGACACGTGACACGTGATACGTGATAGAGCCGTACTGCAAATGTATTATGGTTGTCGAATAGGTCGGCTCTATTTGGAAAGGACTACGCTCTCATAAGATACCAGCGTAAAATAGCAGCTAAATGCTGTGTTTCGTATGATTAGTGCACAGAACCCTTTTCACTGTAAGCATTCTATCTTAGTATTTTTAAGGGTTGATAACGCATCTGCATTTCGATTCTTAATCGAAGATAGATGTAGTTGTATATAGGTCTCCTACAGCATCCGCTTACCATCAGGTGTGTGTGCTTGTTTGTATCCCTTATTTAATAAAAAAAGTTTCACCTATGTCACAAATAACATCTGCTGTTTATTTTCTTTGAATTATATTTCGTACGATGTTGATAGCTTCCGACAGTATTTGAAAGTTGTACGTCGCGGTTTAAAACAGACGGAAAGACATAATGATCATGAAATTGTTTTATAAAGATGTATATATTTCACCTGAGTGCAGTCCTCACTGAAAACTCGATCGTATATGTAATGCTTGTCGTTAATTCGCCGTTGTCGGAGCACGTCACGACGACTGTCTGCTTCCTCCTCTAACACCAACATCTATAAAATCAAATTGTTTTCAAGTACTTACAGACATTTAAAAAAATAGTTAAATAATGTCATGTAATTCATTTCACGGGAACAGCTCTAAATACGAACGAAATTATCTATTTAGATGCTATATTACTAATGCTATATACTATATGCTAATTATATATATGCTATTTTTTTTGTAACGCAGAGCAAAGCTCCGTCGCATATTTATCCATATCCATGATAATTAAAATAGTGATGAACGAGCTCTCTCCACCTGATATTTTTTTAAAGTCATAAAGCTTTTAGATGCTCTCAAACAACTATTCCGAACGAAACAGACAACAACGGTGTTTTCACTGCTAAACAATAATTGTATTTTCTCTCTTACCTCACAAATTTTGTTTCGATCGCTTTTTTTATAGGATAGGGTGACAAACGAGCACACAGTCCACCTGATGGTAAGTGGTTGCTGTGACCTATAGACATCCACATCTATCCTCAATAAAGAATCAAAATGCGGATGCGTTGTCATCCGTGAAGACTAAGATGGAATGCCTATTTTCCAGTAAAAGGGGTTTCCGGTTCTCTACACTCACCATACGAAACACAGCAGTATTAAGCTGCTATTTTACGCTGGTATTCTGTAAGAGTGTGGTTCTTCCCCGGTTGAGCCGACCCATTCGTGCTACAACTATACTACTAATGTAGCTGCAGCATGGCTCTACCACGTAAATAAATCATGTTCCTGTTTGAAGATTGTACTATATGTATATTTGTACATCATGTTTATATCATACCATTTATCGTATAATCTAACTTGTTTACTAAACATAAATAGATTCTAAAAAATAAACTATCTTTCTTACCTTTTCTATAGTGTCATGTTTAATACTCGTTTGGAAATACTCGTAACTTTATGTCTGTTATAAAATCATATATGAACATTATCATCGCAACACGTACCTGACGTTAAATTTGCTAATAATCCACAATAAGCCACAAAATATTATCTTAAATTATATGTATCCCTTGAAATGCTACAGTCTACACACCATATAAGCCACTAAAATAATGTGTTGGTCACTCACACTCGCACCGCGTTTGCTATGCTGTCTCTCGTAAACTTTCTTCCATTTCCTCGAGCATACAATAATCACCTTTAAATTACATACTAACAAAAGGCAGTAAATAGTTATAATATATTCCCATCGGCCTATCTAAATCGAGGTATATTCCTAACTAATGACTCACGTCACTCTCCCTTCATAATTATGGCATAACACTTCACGTGAGTAGTGTAGTTGTACCACTTCTAGACCACCTGAGTCAGACGTGGTTCAACGACGTTCGTCGACGCCCGATCCTAAAAAAAAAAAGAAAAAAAAAGGTTTTGGCATGCTCTGATCACGAATCCGCGGTCCATTTTTGTGTAGAATGCACGGTTCCAGAGATGTGTAGATCAATTAGCTAATATCTAATTGATATCCGGTAAGGGCCTCCACCGTCATTAGCGTCCCATTGTTCCTATTTCTATTGTTCTATTGTTCCTTAATCACCTTCATTGCAGCGTGTGCGTCGACTATATCAGTGCTATTGTTTATTATAATTCTTTGTTTATACAACGCTAATCTGAATCATCAATAAAACACATTACATAATTTTGTTACAATTTTTATTTATAAAATACAAAATCTTATTAATTATTATCTATAAAATAGGAGCGAAACATCTCATCCACTAAAATATCGTTGTACAATGTGTTCCTTGTAAATATACTCGTAAAACTATGTATTGAACATCCTTGAAACTTATATAGTAAATACATTAAGCAATATTCGCCACAAACTGAAGTCCACTCATTCTGAATCCTATCAACATTCCAGTTCCATCTTTTACAATTCCTTTTTAAAAACTCTAGATGATATCGTACAGGTGATCGTCCATATGAATCAAAATATTGACCGACGTCATTCGTATCGATATATAAAGCTACCCAATGTGACCCTGGTTTATCATCTGTATCCAAATTACATATTATATACGTTGGTACGTGGGTATACATAGGCAGTCTATTAGCTGCATAAACATTATTTTCTAGACTGGGGTGAATCTTTTTCAGATGTTGTTGTACATCTAGTGTATCCATGATATTACTGCTATTAGTAGATTATTACAGTACCTAGCTACTCAATGAATAACATAGGAATGGTCAATTATAGTGATTTCTACATATTAAATTGCATTTTTGTGTTATACAAATCGTACTTGAGTCATTGATCACCAAACAAAACACAATACGAAGAAATGTTGAGATAGGCAACGGAAATGTGAGATAAACTGGTTGACGCATAAAGTAATTATCAACTCATTACGGAAATACTTTAGATTAGAATTTTTACGTACTGGTGGTATATAAGACCAACAAACGCAGTCATCGAGTTAGTGTACGGTCGTTTGGCTACAGTGGATCTATCAATAGTACATTTGTGTTACTTCAATACACCAAAGGCTATGGATGTAAGTGTTTATTCTATTGACTAAATTACTTTTTTTCTGTTATTTTCATGTGTGTGTATTATTTTATTTAAATATTGTGTATGTATATGATTAAGGCGTGGTAACTCAGATGGTTAGCGCTAGCTGTAAATTTCACAGTACGCGACCCGGGTTCGATCCCCGCCAGCACCAATTAAATTGTTAATAGCAATTTTAAGTGCTTATTACCACGTGCTTGGTGGTGAAGGAAAACATCGTGAGGAAACCTGCATGTCTGAGAAAATTTCGAAGGCATGTGAAGTTCGCCAACACACATTGAGGGAGCGCGGCGGACATTTCCTTGCTCTAAAACCCTCTCAGAAATGAGAGGAGGCCTATGTTCAGCAGTGGACTTTAATAGGCTGTAACTTTAACTTTTTTAACTTTTATGATTAAGTGTTAACAAATTGATATTAACATGATAACTGTGTTGTTGCAGAAATCATTGAGCTTCGATGAAGATACCTATAAACAGTATTACTACTCGCCACTCTCCCCTCAAGAAGAGAGTGATGACCTCGTCATTAATAATAACACATGCGATGGTGGAAAAAGAAAATCGCAATCGATTGATCATTTTTTTGAAGCTGAATCAAAAATAAAAAAGAGGAAGGGAAAACTTCAGTGAAGTGTGCACCAGTGCTTTTTTCTCCTCAATCATGGACGAGAATACGGAACTATTCAATAGCGAATTAAATCAGGAGTTGTCTAAAGTTTGTGAAGAAATGGAGAGGGGTCAACTGTTCGATTCGTCATACGATGATGAGTTGTATCATCACTGTGCGATGGTTGAAACACAGTTTAAGTATGTAAAATAAACATTCATTTCGATCATAATTTACATATTGTCTTATACAGTTTTTAATAAATTTAAACATTTTAGCAGTCAACCACTACAACTTGGAAGAGGAACGAAGCGAACGTGCAGCAAAGAATCCAAGATCATCAAAAAACCAACAACGGAAGCAGAAGCGCATACCTCTGCAGGGAACAGTATCAGTAACGATGATCAAGTGGAATGTCCAACGTGCCATATATTTATCAAGAAACGGTATTTAGCTAATCATTTTAAAAGTAATGTTCATAAAAATAATCTTTTAAATTCACATAATTCTTTATCAAACGTTAGTGTTATTGAATCTGCTTTTGGAAATAGGATTTTAACTTATAAAATCAAGAGTAGAGTAGATCGTTCGACATGGGTAAATTTTGAAACTCCTGAACTATTTTTAAATTCTATTAAAGATGATATTTTATTTTTATTACAAGAGTGTATTCATCAACACATAATTTTTAAGGTAAACTTCATATTGCATGCTGATTTTGTTCAACAAACTAAAGATATTCATGATACGTTCGATTTTCAAACGCTTAACTATATTATTTGTCAAGGAGATGACTTAAATATTTTTCTTTCATCTTTAAATGATACAATTACTACTAAAATTAGTGCTTTCGAAAAAAAAGATAGTGGATGGAGTCTAAAAAACATAAAATCTATAGACATGAATGTTAATAAATTTAACCCCCTACGCGGTACTTCATACATAGATCTTCCTCGTGACATAAAATTAAAAAAGGCTGTTATAAATGTAAAAAAACAAGGATTATTTTTGTTTTAAATGGGCGTTACTCTCGGCGTTATATCCTGTAAACAAACACACCGATCGGGTATCATCGTACGTTAAACATGCAAATAAACTTAAATTTGATGGTATTTCCTTTCCGGTTAAAATTTCTGACATAGCAAAAGTAGAGAAATTAAATGATATTAGTATTAATGTTTTTGGGTTAGAATATAATAAAGAAAAACGATGTAATTCTATAGTAGGTCCATTATTTTTAACAAAGTGTCGTAAAGATAGACATATCAATTTATTATTTTTTTCCAAGGATACAAAAAATCATTATTGCTATATAAAAAATTTATCGCGGTTAGTTAGTAAACAAATTTCAAAAGACGGTCACATCATGTTCATTTGTGAAGCATGTCTACTTCGTTTTCCATCTCAGGAAAGGTTAAATAACCATGAACAATACGATTGTGCTCACATTTGTACAGTATTACCAAACAGTGAAACTTTAAAAAAAAAGAATTGGTTTGGTCAACCTATTTCAAATGATAAAATTAAATTTGATAGTTATGAAAAAAAGTTAAAGATACCATTCGTAGTTTATGCTGATTTTGAAGCATTTTTAAAACCAATAGAATCATGTTCTAACGATCCTTCCAAACCTTTCACTCATAATATTCAGAAACATGAAGTACATAGTTTTGGATATTATATAAAATGTTCATATGATGATCAATTATCAAAATATGTAACATATTGCGGACCCAACTGTGCACAAGTGTTTATGGAAAGTTTATCTAACAATCTAAAAGAAATAAATAGACTTCAAAAATATCCACCACTTCCGCTAACAAATGAAGACAAAAACCAAATTTCAAATGCAACCATTTGTCATATTTGTGAAACTGAGTTGGC